CGATTTAGGCAGAACCTACTCGGGAGATGAGCTTAATAGCATCAGGAAATTCAAGTATGGAGGCATCAACTCTGATGCTGGCAGTCTGATGTGCACTAGTCTACTAATGCAGGGGGCAAGGAGACCTGCCAATACGCGGTTGGGCGAAAGCTACTCGATCCGCGGCTCCACCAATACCGACAGTATTGCTGCTGATGAGATACCTTGCTTAGCTGATGGCGAGTTTGGCAGTTTTTCACATTTAGACTATCTTTCAGAGGCTCCAATTCCTCCTAACGTCTGTGACACATCGTCCACTCGACAACCAGGACTTCGCCAATCATGTGTCTGTCTCCCGTCGAAAAATACCGAACACAGTAACACATCTCCGGATCTTTTTGCCTCGATCGAGCCTCGGACCAATGGTATAGCACCCATTTCTAACCTTAATCATCTTGAGGGACAACACCCACGTGCCTTGGTCACATTAGAATCTGTTGCCTCTGGGGCAGGTGGAAAACTGAGTCTAAGTCTATCAGAGTTAACGGATCGCTTTAGTCGATCGGCAACATCTACACTACCCCTTAAACATGCGGTCAATCCATTATCTTCATCGTATACGGGTCTACCGAATTACGTTGCAACCACTATTAACGTGAATGGAAATGTAGTTGGCGTGACTGAGAAAAAGCCCGGAGACGAGAATTTAACAGAGTTATGCTTGACCAACAGTCTCGACGGCCTTATACCTAGATCTGGACTAAGTGGCGGGATCATGCAGACCAGCAACCTGTTTCGACTGGCTGAACAGCAGGAGGCAAACTTGCGTGCTCACTCGGGTAGTTGGGGTCGGCTCAACGAGTCGCTTGGTTCCCTAGGCAGACAGTCCACAACGCTAACAAAGGCTGAGCAACGCCGAACGTCTGCTGCTGTCGTTGGTGGTGGTGGTGGTGGTGACAGTTCAACTAAACATCTATCAACCTCGACCTCAACAGAGTTGAGAGCCTCGGGTTCAGTGCCTGTGCCCAGTTTGGCGCTGCTTGTCGCCCAGCTACAACTTGACGCATCTGCAGGTGGTGTTCCCGATGAAGAGGGTAGTGGCGGCTCGAGTCATGTGAGGTCTCTGAGTGGCAATTGTCTGGTTACTAGCTGTGCTAATGCTGTTGGTGGCAGCTGGTCGCGGCCATCTAGTCGACCCGAAAGCCCTTCAACCATCGACATGGTAGGTGTTGGCAGATCAGGAACACTTCCTGCGTCGACGAAAGACTCGTCTGAGCGTCATGCTGACCTGCCAGAAACTATGGTTACTTCTGTCCTGCGAGGCTCGTTCACCCTAGACAAACCAACAACTTTGGGCCTCCCAGAGATTGGGTCACCACCACTGGCTTATGCATCATTGCAGATTTCAAGTCAGTTCCTTTCTTGATGTGCACATTGAAGTGCGATGAGTAAATTGTTATAACATTCATACCTTCATAAAAATGTTAATATTGAGATATGGTCAAAATTGGGATTGCTTGTAGATGACTAATCTCATCGAATTTCTGGTCCGCAATTTTAGTATTTTTATTTTTTGCCAGATGAGCGCTGCTCAAAATAATTCTATTGATTTATACTTGTACAGAGACTTGACAGCACTTCACGGATTCCATTATATATATATATATCAGAATAGCTCTGCCACCAAACTGGTGCAAGAATATCTCGAAACTAGTGTAGTATACATACCTGGAATAGAAGGCAAAATGAGACATTTTCAGCTTTAAGTTTCTTAGTACTCTTTTGATGCTTGTGTAATCGTGACTTGATTACGGCAGCAATGGGGTTTATGAATTAAATGTCGAGTTTGGAATCATCTCCTATATCAAAATGTTATCTTATTTATTTAGAAGTCATGACCCTTTGAACTTTATTTTATGATGCTTTCCCTGTTACTTGCATGAATTCCTTATTTGCTATCTTATGAGTAATAAGTTCGTTTTCATTGCTAGGGTAAACTTGGTTGGTATGATATGTAAGTTTCTTATTGGAAGGACTTTAATTTTTTTATGAAAGTACACGAAGAATAGATTCGTAGGTAGATTTCACCTGAAGAGGACGAATAAATCTCGTTTTACTGCAGCTGTTTAGCTTTTATACGGTATTCAGGTTGATCCATCCACGAGACCTCCTCCCTCGCTTCGGGTGAAAACGTGATGAGCTTTCGTTCATCATTTGATGGACATCACCAGAGCTGGGTCTCATTCCTGTAAAAGTCTCACGTTAATACTCGGTCAAGAAGACTATCCGGCTCTGTCATACCTCTTATATGGACTTAATTAATTGTTGGGATCACTTCCATTTCGAGTAGAAGTGTTAGGTGAAGAGATTCGAAGGAGATTGCCTCGGAAACAGCGTCAGCATGAATCTTCCAGTAAAGCCAATCGAC